TGTTTATACAAGAGGGCCATGATGGCCCTGAATCGCTCACCAAAAACAACTGTTTTTTAGTGATTATAGAATTTGTTTTCCAAATAAACTTGTAGAAAGACAAGTCAATGTCAACTTGAACAACCTGCCTGGCTCTAGTTATAAGGTTTCCCGACAATGATTGTTTTTTTCTTGATAGTAAAAATGACAGGAACCAAGTTTGGTGATCATCCATCCATCAATTTGAGATAAAATTTGCCTATGACTGTTTTTCAAAATTGCGATCTTTCTTTTTTTTTAATTATTTAAAAAAAAATAATCTCAGTATTTAGATAAACATGTATACTGTTTGTCAGGATGACACCACCGTTCAATATTTATTTAAAATAACATAGGTTTACTTAAGTCAACTTGACCAGAAGGTTAATATTACAGGTTAATTATCTTACTCTCTAATAGAAATGGGAACAATTGTAACTTGAACTACATAGAGGAAGGAAAAAGGCAAAAAGTTGTTTTGATGAAATGTATTCAAAGAATATGAAAACAACTTTACATACATTGTATGAAACAGTGCAAAATTACTTTCAATAACTGATTACCATGTTTGCAAAATGTGACTCTGAATAGAAATAATTGAAACTGATACTAAAATAGCACAAAGAATAAAAAATGACAAAATTACATAAAGACAAGCAGGAAATACTCCTAAAGTTGACATGAGTTCACTTAAACTTAAGTGTTGTTTCATAATGCAAAATGCTAAGTTACAAAAGATTATAAAGTGAAATAAGCTGAAAAATAATTTCAGACATATCTACATTTATGAAATAAATTCAAATTTATTAACATTTAACTTATTATTTTGAGTGTTACTCTATTGCAAAATTATTTGAATATTACCTAATGAAAGGAAAAAGTAGAAAAAAGTGAGATCAGGGAAAGTTGTTATGCAGCTGTTCAGGCTATTAAGACAATTTCAGGTCAATCGACCATATTATATTATTATTATATTCTCATATAATACAACAGATACTTAAATGAGTCTCAGTGAAAAACAATCACCTATATGTTACACAGTGACAATATCCCATGCACATGAAACATCAGGTTCAACAGTGTGTCCCAATATTTATTGAAATGTGTTTTCTCCAAGTTAGTAAGCTACCAGAAACAAATCAAACATTTTTTAGGCCTTGGGGAAAATTCTCTAGATTGACCTACAAATGAACCTTAGAATGATGCAATGCCTATCTAAATTCTAGGGCACAACCAGAAAGATACAAAGCACTTTGACCTCAGATCTCTGTAAAGCAAACAGGTCATTCAATCTTTTTTTTATGCATAATATGTTTATACATGTGAACATTTTTCAATGTGCAAGAGGGAGAATTTGCTTCAAAATGAGGGAGATTTTTTAATTGACAGGAAAATTTGATATGAAAAAGAAGGGAGATTTCTTTATTTAAATTTTTTTTTCAAACATCCCTTATTCAAGGAAAAATTTGACAGGAGAAAGAGGGTGTCTCTCGCTCAAATTGGGAGAGTTCACATGTATGCATGTACACATATATGGAAACATTCCAACATGAGTTATTTTCCTTTCATTATTAAACTATAATTTGAAGAAATGCCATGGCCCAGGGCATTTAAGCTATAGTTGCTCCTAACATTTTTAGCTTAAGCGGCCCCTACAAGGGGCTAATCAAATAAATAGGAGCAAATTTGATAAAAGACTACCAAACAAAGCTACAAACAAAATTTGGTGATCATCCATCAATTAGGTATGCAGAAGCAGGTGTTTAAAGGTAGTTCTATTTTTAACTATAGCGGCCCCTAAAAGGAGCCAATCAAATTAATATGAACACACTTGATTAAAGACTACATAAGAATGCTACAGACAAAGTTTGGTGATCAGCCATCAATTAGTTCTGTAGAAGCAGACGTTTAAAGGTATTTCTATTTTTTGCTCACCTGAGCAATGATCAGGGTGAGCTATTGTGATGGACCTGTGTCCGTCGTCCGTCGTCGTGCGGCGTGCGTCGAGCGTCGTCAACTTTTAACATAAACAACATCTCCTCTGAAACCAATGACTGCACATCAACAACACTTTACAGAAATGATCCTTGGGTGGTCCCCTTTCAAAGTTGTTCAAATGGTTTCGGTCTGTTGCATATGTAGGTCAAAGGGCCAGAAAGGATTTCAAAAAACACAAAATTAAAAAATCTTCTTGTCTGAAAAATACATAGGCCAGAGCGTTGATTTTTGGTATATGGTATCATCTACGGGTCCTCTACCAAAGTTGTTCAAATTTTGTCCCTGATGTCAAAATTGGCCCCACCCCGGGGGGTCATAGTTTTTTCCTTATATGTATATAGTAAAATCTAAAAAAATCTTCTTCTCTGATTTGGCAAAGGCTACAGATTAGATATTTGGCATGAAACATTGTGTAGTAGACCTTTATCAAGATTGTTCAAATAATGGCCCTAGGGTCAAAATTGGCCCCGCCCCGGGGGGTCATTGATTTTCATTACATACATATAGTGAACAAAAACTTGAAAAATCTTCTGGTCTGAAAGTACATGGCCTAGAGCTTTGATATTTGGTCTATGGTATCATCTGAAGGTCCAATATCAAAGTTGTACAAATTTTGTTCCTAGAATTAAAATCGGCCCGGCCCTGGGGGTCATTGATTTTCCCTATATGTATATAGTAAAAACATAAAAAATCTTCTTTTAAAGAACCCAAAGAGCTAGAGCTAAGATATTTAGCATGAAACATCTTCTAATGGATGTCTACCAAGTTTGTTCAAATAAAAGCCCTGGGGTCAAAATTGGCCCCGCCCCAGGGGGTCATTGATTATCCCCATATGCATATAGTAAAAACTTAAAAAAAAAGTCTTTTAAAGAATGCAAAGAGCAAGAGCTAAGATATTTAGCATGAAACATGTTCGAATGGATGTCTACCAAGTTTGTTCAAATAAGAGCCCTGGGGTCAAAATTGGCCCCGCCCCGGGGGTCATGTATATTTATATGGTATATTTATATGTATGTATATATATATATACAATCTATCATCATCTTCATCATCAACATCAACAACAACATTTATTTATTATTATTGTTTGTGTTATTTATAGAATTGCGTGTTACTATTTATAGAATTGCGTGATTCTATTTATATAATTGCGTGTTACTATTTATAGAAATGCGTGTTTCTATTTATAGAATTGCGTGTTACTATTTATAGAATTGCGTGTTTCTATTTATAGAATTGCGTGTTTCTATTTATAGTTTTCCGTGTTAGAGTTTAGATATAAAGCATGAAGCATCTTCTAGCGAGTGTCTACAAAGTTTGTTTAAATAAAAGCCCTGGGGTTTTAACTGGCCCCGCTCCGGGGGCCTATATACAGGTGAGCGACTTTGGGCCATCATGGCCCTCTTGTTAACTATAGCGACCCCTAAAAGGGGCCAATCAAATTAATATGAGCACACTTGATAAAAGATTCCCTAAGAATGCTACAGACAATGTTTGGTGATCATCCATCAATTATTTCTGTAGAAGCAGACGTTTAAAGATATTTCTATATTTAGCTATAGCGGCCCCCAAAACGGATCAATCAAATTGATATGAGCACACTTGATAAAAGACTACCCAAGAATGCTACAAACTAAGTTGGGTGATCATCCATCGATTAGTTCTGCAGAAGCAGACGTTGAAAGGTTTTTCTATTTTTAGCTATAGCGGCCCCTAAAAGGGGCCAATCAAATTAATATGAGCAAAATTAATAAAAGACTACTCAAGAATGCTACAGACCAAGTTTGGTGATCATCCATCAATTAGTTCTGTAGAAGAAGATGTTTAAAGGTGTTTCTATTTTTAGCTCTGTTGACCCCTAAAAGGGGCCAATTGAAATGACATGAGCAAATATAAGTGTGACTGTCACAAGGATACTACAGACCAAATTTGAGGTAAATCTGACCAGTAGTTTCAGAAAAGAAGACGATTGTTGACGCATGACGACGAACGCCGGAGTACCCCCCTTTGATACTAATAGCTCACCCTGAGCCTTCGGCTATGGTGAGCTAAAAAAATCAGGCACTAAACATTATTCTCTCAAAGAAATATAAAGAGCATTTATCAATATAAACATTAATAAAACAACATTTTCTCAAATTCGTTATGAGTTATCTTGTTTTGTAAATTAATCGGAGGGTTATTTAGAATGATAGATATTTTTTTACATTGACAACTGTCCGTTTCTTAGAAAAGTCGACAACCAAGATTAGCGGCGATGTCTATACGCCGTATTTCCGGCATAGTTACTTGTGTGCTGCTCGCCGTTTTGTGATTAAGGCCCTAGAATCAATAACAGGCCAGATCCTCATTTTTTTTTTGTTTGTTTACTGGGCCCTGTACGAGTATGTATTGTGCATACGTAGAACCGGGCTATAACAAGAGCGCGTGACTATGTTAACACATGGTTTTGGTCCCGTTATAACATGGGCAAAAGAGGAAAAAATAGCTGATTTTATGCTATAAATCTGAGATATCGCACTGTCCGTTATTACCAATAAAGTAAGTAATTGAAGCTTGTAACTTAGTCTCGAATACATTCTGTCATTACAAAAAGAAATTAGATAATCCAGTTTTTTTGTATAGTGAAATGAAACCTACATTCCAAAGAAAACAAGATAATAATAGAAAAATAAGAATCCTAAATATCCGTCAAAAGCTTCCTGAAAATGAGATGGCAATGAGAGTTTTATAAGGGAACTGTCTTTCTTCGCATTGTTTCGGTGCTCACTGTAACCAGCCGTAGTGGCTGTTTTGTGTCAACGGCTGCTTTTTGTAAACATCGAATTACCTTGTTGATTTTTGTTCTAATATGTCCTTTACAGTGAAGTAGGTACCATATTGTTGACAAGCGTACATGTATATCTCTAGCTATTAAGTTAACACATTTGTTGATCAGAAGCGTGTCCATTTGGAGATACCCCTTACATTGTTCCGAAAAAGACATTGAGTTGTTCCGATCTTCTTGGATCTCCTGCATCAACTTACAATTGTTACCATGAACCGACCAGGCAACACTGCTGTGCTACTTGTGAAGCTATAAAGAAAACTAACACGGCGTATAAAGGTATGTCTATGCTATAATTTCCTCAATATATAACTCCTTTTTAGCTCGACTATACGAAGAATATGGAGAGCTGTCCTAATCGCGGTCGCGTCCAGATTTCAGATTAAAGTTTTGGTGCAGTAAAATATTTTTCACTATTTCTTTTTCATTTCTTAAGGTATCAACTTCAAACTTCAAATATATGTTCCTTATCACCAACCAAATCTTATGTGACAAGGTTCATAACTGTAGCTACAATATTTCAGATTTATGTCCCTTTGAACTTAGAATTTTCCTTAAAAAATACTATTTTTTACTGTAACTTCTTTATTTCTCAAGGGATCAATTTCATACTTCAAATATATGTACATTATTATCAACCACAACTTATGTGACAAGGTTCATAACTCTAGACTATTTTCAGATTTAACTCCCTTGAACTTTGAATTTATGTTAACAAATGTTATATTTTTACTATTTAATTTAATACTTAATCATACATAATTGAGTTTTCTTTCATAGGTTTGTCTTCCTTACTCCATGGGTCCAGTATTTCGTATGTCGAGCTTCGCTATCTCCTGTGACAGCTATTGTTGCTAAGGATATCATTTTTTGTACTTTTTATGCTCAAATGGTCTAGTCAATGTCAGAGGACGATTTTTATCTTTTCATTTTGAGCATTATCATTATGTTGCCTTTTGCCAAATTTTGTTTAGTTTTAAACAATGGATGGCCTGACTTTAATATTTTTTTTTTATTTTCATAATTCTTTTCATTGAAGGGCTAGGTACGTTTTAGGTCGATTTTTGCCCATCGGCAAAATTTGATATACCAAAATTAAATTATATTTCTAACAAAGGAAGCAAGATCGAGTCAGATATCTGCTAAGGCAAAAAAGTTATAATAAATTAAAACAACCTATCAAAAAGCAAAAAACCTATAAAAAAACAAAAACAAACAAACAAAAAAAACTACAGTTTGAATTCATCAACGCATCGCTTCGAGTCATTAAAATATAATGACGCATACGTATTTTCTAAATTGTTTATCGTGTAATGCACAGGAGTTGATGATACATTTGATGTACATTTCTACCGTTCAATTACGATTGCAGACACAAATAATTAGTCACTGTGAAGTATATCAACAAAACAGACGAAAAAGAAGACATATACAATTTCTTTTATTTATATAATTTACTTACCCTATTTAAGAAGTGTGTTCAGTAACTGCTGTTTTATAAAATACACTATTACTTTAACAAGTTCATATTTAAATTTTCGTCGCTGGACATTCTTCAGTTTAAAAGGGCTAACCAACGAAATCTATAAGAAGTTTGTACGAAGAGGCACATATTCGTAATACAACCGCTATGACAATATTTTTTTATTTAGTGGTCTTATGTAATTTCCTATTTAGTAAAGTTCAGAACTTATATGTATGCACGTGTTTGATTATCATCATCAGCTTCATCATCATCATAATCAGAATTATTATAATTATTATTATTATATGATATTGATCTTACACATTATGCCTTGGTTACTTGACCTATCGGAATCGGCCGAATTACCGGAATCGGTGGGGACTTTGCTGGAATCGGTCTGTAATTTTGTTATTAATGAACTTTTAAAAAATATTCTTTCATTTTTATAAGATATAAACATTACCAATGATATGTCAAAAGATTTTTGTAAATCACATCACTTCTAAAAACGGAGAGTTACTGCCATATTGCCGGATTCGTCGAGGGCCTGTGATTTGGTTATTTATTATTGATGCATTTTAATAATATTTGTTTGCCTGTTTTTATAAAACTTAAACGTTATGATTGACCTCCAAAAAAAAATGTGAAAAGAAAATCGGTTTAAGTTAACAGTGAAAAAATATTTAAGCGGCGAAAACAGGAACAATGTCGGAATCGGCGAATGATTACCGAAACCGGCCTGTATTTTGCTTATTTATGAACTTTTAACCAATTTCCTTGCATCTTTAATTAAATATAAAACGATGTCAATGATATGTAAAAAGATTTTTGTTAATAAAATCACCATTTATTAATAAAACAAGATATTTAATATCGGAAAGTTACAGCTATACTATCGGACTCGGCGACGGATTACCAGAATCGGCCTATAATTTGGTATTTGTTAGACTTTTTTACGTTTCTTTTGCACCGTTAAATATAAATATTATTTATCATATTCAAAATAAGAATTTTTCAAAATCGCTTTTGATAAATAATACAATCGAGTTACTTTCATACTGCCGAATTAGTAAAATGTTAAGCCTCCCTTGAATTCCTGCCAAAATGTCATTACATTAAAAACGGAGACCACCTTGTAAAAGCACGTACGTGTTAGATTTTATATATATTTATTAATGTTTATGTACTCGGTATATAGATTTTGCCATGTCTTTTATTTTCCACGGCATGCAATACAGCTAAAATTTATACGAAACAAATAATTTTGAATCTTCAAAAACTTAGGTCTTGAATACAGGATATATTCGTGTTTCATATGATATTTGTCGGCGATCACTGCGGAGAACTTACTTTTATTATTTTAAGATGACGTTTGAAACAATAAATAAATAAAATGAAATAAATAAAAAATAATACAATGGAAAACGAAGAAAAACATAAACAAATGTACAAACACATAAAAGTCGGCAGTGTTAAATCAAAGTTTGTTTGGTATCGTTCAAAAACAGATCATCATAATATGCGAGGCTAAAATGTTTATATTCTGTTAAAAACAAAAAAAATACAAAAGAACATGTAACGAGATTTAGTACAAGATTTTTTTCTGTTACGGCCAAAATCGACCCAAAACGTACCTACCCCTTTCAACAAAAAGTTCTCTTATAAAAACAAGCAATTCGAACTTATTTTCACTTTACAGCTTGTTGTTTTGATGACGTTAAATGTGACGTCATTTTTTCAGTTTCTACACGTACTCGAGTTCAGCGGGCGGATTATGATTGCGAGTTTTCGGCACCGTGCTGCAAACTCATAATCGGTATTATGTCAGTCATAATCAGTTGAAAACGTTGGAAAAAATGTTACTTTATAGACCTTTTTACAGTACGATTTTTCCAAAGCAAGGTATGTTGCATTTTGCGCATGCGCATACTAAGTAAAGTTTATTTATGTAATATAGGCCTCCGGCCCAAAATACAACAAAATACAACAAACATGAAATAGCAATGGTAAAATACAATGAGATGATCATAGATTACATAGTATATTGTAATATAAACAATGGTAGACATCATATCAATTTTTTTAAAGATATATAAAGATATCAAGAGAATTTCGTAGATCATTTGAGCCGCGTCACGACAAAACCAACATAGTGGGTTTGCGACCAGCATGAATCCAGACCAGCCTGCGCTTAATATATACCATATTTCACAAAAACGAAAAAATAACCTTTTTATTTAATTTCATTAACAAAGAAAAATGGTTTACGAACCCGCTTGCTACGCAAATGCAATTGTACAGCGCTTAATAATATAATTATTGTTTTCTTTTGCACGCGATATTTAGCGCTACATTGTGACGTCACGTAAACAACTCTAAAAACATCTGTACAGCGTTAACGACTGAATTAAAGATATTGGTGTTCGGATTAATTATCTTAGTTAGACCATTTTCTATCATTCTAGATAGTTTTCAAAACGAGATTCAACAAAAAGTTGTTTTGTATTTATTAGATTTTTCAAACAAAATGGCGAAAGAAGTCCCTTAAAATAAATATGAGTTTTGACTCCGCCCCTTTCATATTTGTATTTCATATTTATTTTTAAAGGATATGAAATATATTTGACTGATATAGCACCATATTTCATGGGTAAAATTAAATAAACCAAACTATTTTGGGATAAAATTAACAAATAACAATAAAAATACAAAAATATTTGGATCAAAATAAGGATCAATTTTAGGATCAGGATCAATATTTAGATCAACTGTAAAATGCCCGTATCTTGCAAAAATAACAATAAATTTATTCTAAAATGTCATATACTTGCTATTGCAAGTCCAGTTTTATCATATTAATATTAGATATTTAATCTGTGAGGATAAACAATGAAGATTAATAGAGTTTTTAAATTTAATCCTGATCTTGATCCAGATCCTTAAATGTTTGTGAACACGGGGCCTGTATATCTAGTAGAATGTTTTTACGTATAGTATTAAAGTGAATACAAATCAAGAGAATGTGATATTCGTCGTCTAAGCCCGTAAAACAGAGAGGACATATCCTTTGATCAATTGGTATATTATTGAAGAATCCAGTGTTATAACCCAAGGGCAGTAAACCGCCTCTTAATTTTATAATGAGCGACCTTTAATATGAATTTTCAATTTGATCTAGGTACGATTCTCTTATAAAGTCAATTTTAATACTTTTATAAAACAACAGTCTGCTAGATGAATCAAGAGCCTCCCGCCATGTTTGAACATCAATATCGCGCAATCTTTGAGATAATTCGCGACAGAACAAGTCAATTTTTCCTACTCCCTGGTTTTTCCATACATGACCATATCCATTTATGAAAAGAACACGCCTAATTTGAAATGCCCAGCAATCAATGTTATTTTCTGCCCACCGGTATTGGACTTTATAGCATAATAAAGGTAATCTATTTTCATTTATTTTTAGAATCCTAAACCAGTATTTGATTGCTTTAAGAACTCTGTTACAATATAGTGAAAAACGGCCCAACTCCCCATATACATACTTATTAGGAGTTGACCAGTTTAATTTCAATGCATATTTACAAAACTTGTTATGTACGATGTCAATATCTTTAGCTTCATAAGAAAACCAAATTTCAGAGCCATATGTCAATATAGGCTGTACTTTTGATTCAAAAATTTTGAACAATAGAGATACAGGAAGTTGTCCGAATCTGTATAAATTAGTTTTAAGTGAAAAAATATCTTTATTTGCTTGTTCAGATAATGTTTTTTGACACATATACCATGATAATCTAGACGAAAACACTAT